TCTTTGTCTTGTAGAGCGAGATGGATTCAAACTGCTGACATTGTAGTTAGCAGCCTAACACATAGCCCACTACACTACCAGGGCTCCTTGAGAAACACTCTACAGATTTTAAAAAAAAAATTGTATTCTTCAAGTTTATAAATAATTTTTTTTTTCCTAATTTCATTGACCACAGAAATAAATCATCAAACTCTCATAACAAGGTTCAGCGGTGGTGGTGGTGTACCATGGAGTCGATTCCAACTCATAGTGACCCTGTATAGGGTTTCCGAGCCTGTAAATCATTACAGGAGCAGAAAGCCTCATCTTTCTTCTAAGGAACCAGTGGTAGTTTTGAACTGCTGACCATGAGATTAGCAGCCCAATTCTTAATCACTACGCTACCAGAGCTCCTTAGAACAAGGTATCTTACCATTTAATTAACATAAAAGAAGCATCAAGAAGGTCAATGAGTCAACAATACAGGGCAGACCTCCAACTTCAAACAGAACTGAAGGCATTTAGAGTTCCAGGAAACTACTACATTCTAGACCAGTCTAGGGCAAGAGGGCCATAAAAATCACACTGGTCAACTATGACCATCTTTTAAGGTAGTCCCCCAGCAGAGGAGTTAGGACCACTCAGAGGTACATGGTCAATATGAGGAAATTCAAATGCCTGCTCCTTAAATACTGTGGGATGATAATCAATTTTTCACCTCCACTGCACATTCAACAATGTACAACCACCCAGCACCACCACTATTGTTGTTGTTGTTATTGTTGTTGTTAAGTGCCGTTGAGTCTGTTCCGACCTATAGTGACTGTGTATAGGGTTTCTGAGGAGCAGCTGGTGAGCTTTAACTTCCGACTTTGCAGTCCAGTGCATTAACCCACAGGAGTCCACCACCAATATATGAAATGAAAATATCTTATAAAAACATTGGCCCTTTCTGAACTATTTCAGATCTGTGTTGATTTTGACTGCGATGTCAAAATGAATATAATGTGAGTCACATGTTACTTTAACTCTTCTAGTAGCCATATTTAAAAAGGAAAAAGGACTAGTAAAATTTATTTGTAATATTTAATCTAATATAGCCAAAACATTACCATTTTAACATGCAATCAGTATAAAAAACCCATGAAGCTATTTTCCATTTTTTTTGTGGGGGGAGTACTGTCTTTGAAATACAGCATATATTTTACAAGTGGTTAGTGGCCCACAATTCCAGATTACCCAAACCAAAATACACTGCCATCCAGCCACTTCCGACTCAAGCGACACTACAGAAGAGTAGAACTGCTTCTTAAGGATTTCTAAGGCTGCGTATTATAGGATAAGCACCAGAGTGCTAACTGCAAGGTCTGAAGTTCAAACCCACCAGCCACTCCTCGGAAACCCTATACAGGGTTGCTATGAGTCAGAACTGACTCCACAGCACTCAACAACAGCAAAAACAAATCTTTATGGGGCAGACGGCCTCATCTTTCTCCCATGGGGTGGCTGGTGGGTTTGAATCACCAACCTTTTAATTATCAGCCTGGCTTGTATCCTACTATACACCCAGGGCTCCTTTCAATCCCAGATCGTTGTTGTTAAGTACCACTGAGACGATTCTGACTCATAGTCACCCTGTATAGGGTCTCTGAGGCTGCAGTCTTTGCTGGAGCAGAGAGGCTGGTGGCTTCAAACTGCTGACCTCGTTGTTTGCAGTCTAGTACTTATCATACAGAGCCATAGTTATTCCCAATTCCAGATTATTGTGTTCTTAAGTGCTGTTGAGTCAGTTCAGACTCACAGAGGCCTATTTGTTTCTGAGGAGCAGCTGGTGGGTTTGAACTGTTAGCCTTGTGGTTGGCTAGCCAGTGCTGATCCTACAGCACCACACCAAGAGTCCAATTCCAGGTTGTATTTGTTGTTAAGTGCTGTCAAGTCAGTTCCGACTCATAGCAACCCTGTATGGGGTTTCCGAGGAGCAGCTGGTAGGTTTGAACTGCTAACCTTGTGGTTGCAATCCAGTGCTGATTCTACAGCACCACACTAGCTGACAGCAAATTATAGCCCACATGAACTAAGAATGTTTTCTGAATTTTAAAATGAGTGAAAATAAATCAAAAGAATATTTTTGTGGCACGTTAAAGTTATATAAAATTCAGATTTGAATTTTATAAGATTTGACTAATGTAAAATTTATATTTTTATTAGATCACAGCCACTCAACTTACATTTTGCCTATGGCTGCTTTCGTGCTGCAGTGGTAGAGTTATATAGTTAGGACAGGGAGACACTACCCATAAAGTCTAAATATTTACTATCTGGCCTTTTATACATAAAATTGCTATGGTCCCTATCCTAGAAGACCAGAGCATGGGGTTCAGATCCAACAATGATGTATGCAGTATGCGGAACTTGAGTCACAAAGGTATAAACATAGTACATCCCAGAATTTCTGTTACCTGAATGAGATGCAATCTCAAAAAGTATCACAAATCAAATGAAATAAAACTCATCTAGAACTCAAAGTAGCTGTTCAAATTATAAAATGATACTGAGATTCTATGCATTCACTCTTGTCTCATTTTCCTCTGTATTCACCAACAAAATAGTTGGTTCATAGTGTTTTTATGGATATATTTCCATCTGTGCTATTATAGAATTGTTGTTGTTAAGTGCCATTGAGTTGGTTCTGACTCAGAGACCCTGCATAGGGTTTCCAAGGGGTGACTGGTGGATTTGAACCACCAACCTGTGGTTAGCAGTCCCACTGCTGATTCTATAGCACCATGCCAGGACTCCTATTATATAGACTGGTAGCTGCAAAAAGAGGATTTACCAACATTAAACAGACTGCCTTTACCAATGCTGACCAAATGTAAAATAAAAAAAAATTAATAAACTGATGTTCAGTGAAAAAAAGGACTCCCTTGAGCATTATGCTCTTTTAAGATCCATATGTGATCAAACTGACAGCAGCAACTCAAACAAATAGATAGGAGCCTTACAGAGCGGTAAGTTTGTTAATAAGGGAGGAACGACTGGAAGAATGTAACCAGTGTCACTAAATTGTTATATGTTCTATTGTGTATTTTCTCAACAACTACAAAAAAAATTAAATTTAGGGAAAAAAAACAGGTGCAGCATATGCATGAATAGCAACCAAATCTCTTAATGGGCAGAGGAACTGGGCATGACTTAAAGATGGCAACTGACCACGTTGCTTTGAATATGTATCATTCTCCACACCCCTAGCAATATCCCACCTCCCAAATCAGGCTCATGAAAGGGCTCAGTACACCACTTCTAAGACGCCCATTCCAGGGCTTTGTCTGGTAGCTTTTCTTACTCCAGTTATTAGCCCAGAATATCCAAATTTTACAAATTCAGGTCTGTTCCAATTTCTCTGTGTCGCTTATTAGTGAATTGGTCCAAACCAGTCAAAACCCTGGATAAAAGACTATATACTAAGGGAAAAAGGGAGAAAAAATAGTCAACTCAAACTCATAGTGACCCCATCAGTAGAACTATGCTTCATAAGGTTTTCAACGGAAAAAAGAAAAAACAATATGGCTCCTTGGAAACCCTATACCGGGTCGCTCTGGTAGCTAGTGGTTACGAGGCGGGCTGCTAATCTCATGGTCAGCACTTCGAAGCTGCTAGCCATTCCAGGGGAGAAAGATGGGGCTTTCTGCTCCAGTAAAGATTTACAGCCTCAGAAACCCTGTACAGGGTCGCTATGAGACGGAACCGACTCCATGGCACATAACAAGGAATGATGATGAGTTGGAATCAACTTGACATAACTTAACAATAACAATATAGGGAATACCAGAATTTGACCTCCACTAGGATTTTCACTTTAACCTCTTTATAATTTTTCTAATCTATGTGTCTCTGCTAAGGAGCTCGGGTAGCGTAGTGGTTACGAATCGGGCTGCGAACTGCAAGGTCAGCAGTTCCAAACTACCAGCTGCTCCACGGGAGAACGATGAGGCGTTCTGCTCCCGTAAAGATTTACAGTCTCGGAAACCCTGTACAGGGTTGCTATGGGTCGGAACCGACTTGACGGTACTTAACAACAACAACAATGTGTCTCTGCTATTCATAATGTTTTCAGTGACTAAATATTCGGAAGTAGTTTGTCACTCTGTCTTCCTGCCCAGGATCGGGCAGTGTTTCATTCTGCTGTGCATAAGGTCGCTATGGGTCGGTACTGACTCGATGGCACCTAACAACAACAACCACATGTGAAAATTAAGAAAATTTTCCCATTCAAAATAAGTTGAGGAATTCTTACCATATTCTGAAACCTGAAATGACTGAAAATAGGTCTGGTCCTATTATAAGGGGAAAAAAAGAAAAAGAAATTAATTTTAATATGATTACTTTGCTTACTTACCTGTACAATAAGATTAGACGTTTATTTTTAAATTACATTTATAATGATCTAATAAACATAATAGAGTCCTGGTGTGGCACTGTGTGTTAATGCGTTGGACTGCAAAATCAGTTTGAATCTCAAGGTCAGCAGTTCAAGCTCACCAGTCACTCCTCGGAAACCTTATACAGGGTCGCTATTGGTCGGAATCAACTCAACGGCACTTAACAACAACAACAATAAACAAAACAGTTTATTTTAATTTGTGGAAGCTTATTTTCAGTCAACTGCAAAATGAAGCCTGAGAGATTTTATGAGTTTTTCTTGCCACCTCACTAAAAATATAAAAAGGTAACCTGTCTTTATAATTCAATGAACAGAAGCAGAGTCAAATGAGTGTTTGCAGAGACCCTCCAATATCTTTTCATTCCATTTTTCCAAAGATTTTCTGAAGCATCCTCATACAACATATTAGATGATGCCTATGGACTCCTGGTGTGGCACTAGAGGATCACTTGGCTGCTAACCACAAGGTTAGCCGTTTAAACCTATCAGCTGCTCCTTGGAAACCCTATATAGGATCGCTATGAGTCAGAACTGACTCGACAGCACTTAACAACAACAATAAATCATAATGACCCTCTATAGGGTTTCTGAGGATATAAGGTTTTCCAGAAGCAGAAAGTCTCCTCTTTCTCCCGTGTAGTGGCTGGTAGATTCAAACTTCTGATCTTGTAATTAGCAGCCCAACTCATAACCCACTACACTACCAGAGCTCCTTCTGAGAACAGCTGGTGGGTTTGAATTGGCTGCTGTAGAGCATTAAATTTGAAGCTTTCTTCTTACAAATGATTCCAGGCAGACAGAGTTTAATTCCATCTTGTACCTAAGTTTAAGTGTTCAGAAGCCAAGTTTTCTCAAGTGCCTTATGTGCCTCTGACAGCTGAACAGCCAGAGTGAGAAGCAGAGTGTATTTAAAAGTGGGTTTGGGGCTACTTCCCCCAGCTGGTCCTCACAGGAACTTTCTTGTTCTCCCCTCACAGCTTTCCATAGTTCCTGCATGCATATATGATGAATTATATGCTGTCAGCTGTAGTTGTGAGAAGGGATTCCTCTGTTCCCTGTGCCTACAAAAGGAAACTCATCACATGTCTATGATTTCCCTCACATGGGCAATCTATGTTTTCTTTGTCTTGTGTTTACTCCTGTTTAAGACTTCATAAAGCTTCTCTAATATCGTCCAGGAGTCCTAGTGTAGCACTGTAGGATAAACACTGAACTGCCGATCTCAAGATCAGCAGTTCAAACCAACTAGCTGCTCCTTGGAAACCCTATACAGGGTCACTATGAGTTGGAACCAACTTGAAGGCACACAACAACAACATTCTCCCAGAGTTGTGATGTGGTGCTATATGATAAGTAGTGGACTGCTAACCACAAGGTCAGTGGTCAAATCTACCAGCTGCATCTCAGAAACTCTATACAGGGTCACTCTGAGTCAGAACCAAATTGATGGCACTTAACAACAACAACAACATTGCCCTGGTGTGGCACTGTAGGATAAACACTGGACGGCTAAGAAGAAGTTTGGTGGTTCAAACCAACCAGCCACTCCTTGGAAATGCTATACAGGATCACTCTGAGTCAGAACCAACTTGACAGCATTTAACAACATCAACAATCTTCATATATTTGAAGATGGGGGTCTCTTTTCTGTCCTATAACATTATGATCTTGTGCTTACCAGTTCTTTGTTTATCCTACAGTGCCACACCAGGGCTCTTTTTTTTTAACAATAAGTTTTTATTGTTAATTAAGTGACAGTTTACATGGGAGAACATTAGCTTTACATACATCCTATCATATTTTGTTTCATTGCAGTGATTATGATCCCATCCATGCATCATCAAACAACCAAAGGGTACACCCCACAAACTTGCCCTCCGCCCATCAGCACACAGACCCTCTTCCTTCCTGAGTCCAGAGTCCCCAGCCACTCCATTTCTCCATGTCATCTTCTCTGCCTCCATCTCTGACATCACTGCTTCTCTAGATAGGTCCCGCACTCCACTCTTCTCCCTTGATGGCCCCAGTGACCTCTGCTCCTGGACAGCAAAGTCAACCACTCCCCTCCTTTTGTTACAAAACATCTACCTTTACATTTCCAACACTCACAGTCAGTCCTGATAGCAATTATTCAATATTGAACTACAAGAGTCTTATCCCCATCTCCTTTCATCAGCCCCATCCAGACAGGTTGGAAACCACTCAGTGGATATTCTACCTTCCCTTGCACCCTCTGGAACTAGGCTACCTCTTGAAAGCTTGTAAGACAGTCACTTCTTGCCCCCCCCCCCCCATTTTGGGTGATGATAGTGGTTATGTGCCATGGAGTCAATTCTGACTTACAGCCACCCTGTACAGGGTTTCTGATGCTGGTAGTTTCAAACTGCTGACCTTGAGGTTCGCAACTCAATTTGTAACCACTACACTACCAGAACTCCTTCCCATTTTGGGTAACCAGTGTCTAAGTTGCCCATCCCTGTTAACCCTGTATACCAAGGGGGTGGGAATGATTCTGTAAAGATTTGTTCCCTCTTTTGAGCTACTACATCCATAAGTATAGGTCGAGTTCATCAAATTGTAGCAGATTACTCCTTTTTTCCTCTTCTTTCTTCTTCTAGTCGACTTCTGATCATCCAGCCATTGAAGCCAGGGCAAGTGGGTACTATCTGCAAGTATGGGTGTTCTTGTGCATCTCCACTCACTTCATATCAGCTGGATGCTTCACTCTCCGCTCTAGTCCTCTCACACCAGAACTTTTATTGCTGTTGTTGTGGTTATGTGCTGTGGAGTCGGTTCCGACTCATAGCAACCCTGTACAGGGTTTCCAAGGCTATAAATCTGTACAGGAGCAGAAAGCTTTATCTTTCTCCCATGGAACAGCTGGTAGTTTCAAACTGCTGACTGCGAGGTTAGCAACCCGATTCATAATCACTATGCTACCAGAACTCCTTAGGACTCTATGTGTTGTTGTTTTTGTTGTTGTTAAGTGCCATCGAGTCGGGTCCGACCCATAGCGACCCTGTACAGGGTTTCCGAGGGTGTAAATCTTTACGGGAGTAGAAAGCCTCATCTTTCTCCCGCGGAGCGGCTGGTAGTTTCGAACTGCTGACCTTAAGGTTCGCAGCCCGATTTGTAACCACTACGCTACCAGAGCTCCTTGTGAAATGGTATAATATTTAAAAGATAAAATGTTGTTATGCAAATAAGTAAAAGGCAGCCTTTGTGTATTGGTTCCAGGCTATTCATCTCTTCACAGCAGACCCACTATCCAAAAAGCCCTGCCCCACAAAACTACACCCAAGATCTGCTAGTCACAGCTAAGATAAAACCCTGTAGTTATAAGGACCAGAAGGCTGCCCTTCAAAACTCTCTGTTGAGCAACATCACCTAAATACACACACCCTCTCTGCTTCCCCTCTCCTCCAGGGGCTTGCTCACCCTCCTCCTCTTCTAGGTGGTGGGCTCTTCCTCTGCTAGCCTCTGGAAAGTCTCCTTCTGTGAAACACTTCCTTCACTTGCAAAGCCTTGCCCAATAAATGCCTTATTCTACAACACTGCCATCGTGTGGCTGTAACTTTTTTCTTGATCAGCCCTGAATTCCTCAAACATAATGCCAAACCAGGTCATTAATTGCATTAAATGTAAATATAGATATGCATCACTTAATGTCCATGAAATGTTCATTGAAAACCGGATGCTACATTACTTGGAGGTTGTGCACACACCTTATTAAAACCTTTTGATAGCTCGCTTCTGGCTGCCGTCATTGTAGTGCTGCAATGATAGTGGAACCAGAGGAGACCAGAGGGGAGGGAGCATAGAGCCCTGCCCTGTCCTACCTGTTTTTCAGCTGCCAGAGCAGCCACAGCCTGTCCACAGAACAAAGCTGTGAGCCCCTGCCTGCCTCTTCTGCCTGTATCCCACCACAGTTCCAGTGCTAAAAGGGTCTTTAAAACCACTAGTCAGAAATAATAAACAAAAGGAGAGCTGCTTTCTCTTTTAAAACAATCTTATGGAACTACAGAGTTACGAGTATATGTGATAGGCCATTGTTCTGCTTACTGTCAGATTGGCTAAAAAAAAATCAAGAACCAATTATATATTGGTTGGTATAGAAACTTTAGCTATAAACTCACTATCTCCAAGATAAAAAATCTAAGCTCCCTAAAAAAACCATACTCAAGGTGCTCCATGGTTGGCTCCTGCCTGGCTTCCCCCAATCAGGACTGTGATGCTTCATCCACACTGAACTCATAGTTTCTTATACACGTGATGTAGTTGATCACCTCTTTGCCTCTCTTCAAGCCAGTATCTACTCTTAGTGTATCCTTCCCCTACCTGCCTTCACCCTGCTAAATCCTACTCATCCTTCTGGATTTAGTCTCCTGCAAGTAGTCTTTATTGCTTGCCTCCCCCCAAACTGGATTAGATGCCCCTTCTCTTCTACAATACCCTGTGTATAACTCAATCATTTTATTTAACACCGCATGTTGTAATCATCTGTGGTGGGCCTATCTCCTTTAAGAGACTATAAAATCCTTGGGGTCACAGCAGCTAGTTCATCATGCCTTCAGTGTTTGTTGAATGAATGTATAGACGAATGAACGGATACTTGTCCTCAGGTTGGTTCTTACAGTGCTCATTAGATTAGCCCAGTGATCATAAGGCATCTCTTGCATGACATTAAAATAACCTTCTCCCTCCTGACAAGGATCAGACTACCTAAAGAGGCACCTCCATCTGTCAACTTACAACAGCGAAGGCTTTAACTCTCTGCCCCTTACTTAGAAGGAATGTGAATGCCAAGGAGTGGACTAGGACAACTAGCATGGAAAACTGAAGAAAAGGCAGAACAAAAGTTCTTCTTTTCAATGTTATTTTAAGTTGTCTCAA